TTGCTCGTCCGGGCTGCAGTGAGTGAGCTTGAGAAGCCACATTGTGCAGGAAAATCCCATCACCTGGCCCAGCATTCAAGGCCATTTGTCCACCTTTTTCTGCCTTTCCCTCTCACCACAACTCTTCTCTTATGTTTGCCCACAGCTTCCAGAACAGGTTGTTCGGTTTCACACTTCTGTACCTTTGTCCAGGTTGTTCCTTCGGTCTAGAATACTCTGGCCCTTCTGCCTTTCAGTCCACTTAATGGCCTTTGTCAACTCAGCTGGAAGCGTACCTTTGTCCCCACTGCTCCCTACCCCCAAATAGGCTCAGATAGAACCTCTGTATTATTATTGCACTCTGTGGGTGCTATTTACAGGAAGGCTTCAAGTGGAAGAATCAGGCACCCCAGGTGTCCAGAGCCACTCTAGGCTCTAAGTAGGACCTCATGGATTAGATGCCTCAAATGTAGACCCTCAAAGGTCCTGGCCTAGACGCGCCTCAGTGCGGGACATCCAGTGCTGCTTTCTGTGCAGCCTGCAGGGGGCAGTGTGGGCCAAGAATGGCCCCCCGTTCCCGATGCTGCTTCAGCTGGCTCTAGACTCTCCCAGCCAGAAAACCTCTTCCCAGGAGGAGTTACAGGCAGACCCCATGCTCCCTGCCTCAATGTCTCCTTGATATCATCACCCTCACACGTTATCCGTGTGGTAGGGCAGAGTCACCCTCGCCTCTAATTCCTGATCCAGTTGCTTCTAGACTTCATCCTTCCTCTTTCCCCGCAGCTCTCAGCAGCAACCTCCACCCCAGTCTGTGCCCAGGGCCCTTTTCCAGCAAAAGGATTCTCCTTTAATAGTTTTAGGCCCTTCAGTGCTCATCTCTCTGAAATGCTAACCCCTAACAGCTCCCCCAGTTGACTGGGCTCCACCCCTTTGCTCACCCCAAAGTGATGCTATTGCTGCTACCTTGGTAATAGATGCTCAGTGGGTGTATAGGGCAAATGGCCTAGAGAAAGAAAGCAGTGGCTTTGGGACACTATCAGAGGCATCGGAGGTAGGAGGTGGGCAAAGGGGCACAAGGCCTGCGGAGGGGCAGCGAGGGGCTATGCCCACCCCCTATGAATGCTGTCATCTCTATATGCCAAGCCTCAAGGAGAAAATAAACAGAATAGAGGAGAGGGAAACATCTCCAACCCCACCGTACCCCTCACATGAGAGCAGGTCTCCTTGGACAGCCTGGACTTGTCAGGGGATGGGGAGGAATTTCGTGCACTAGAGCCCATGTCATTCCCCTCCGGGGAGCCTGGGGCACAGAGGGAGGGAACAGCTTACTCAGGGTGTGTTAGGGACAATGCCACAGGTAGTGTGAGGGAGGCTCTATGCCAATGTCCTGAGCTCCAGGGGTTGGTGGCAGCAGGGGGTGGAGGAGCCCTCCTCCAGCCCCTGGGGACCTGGCTGTCCCAGATGCCACAGACGGGAAGTGTGTCAGGCACTTGCGTAAGAGCCTTCTATATTTCCATAAAGTCATAATTACCGATGCCTGCCACGGGCCTTAGCTCATTACAGCGGTATCTGCCTCTGGGACCCAGGAGTGGGCTGGCAGGGGGAGGTAGGGGAGCCTGGGCAAGGCCAAGCCACTCACATTGTTCTCTGCATCCTCAGCCCCACTGAGCCTGGGCTGTCTTTCTCTCCCCAGCTGGGAGATGAAAACCCAGACTTGGCCTCAACCATGACTGACTCCCCCACCCTAAGAATGCCAATTCTAAAGCTGGAGGAAAAGGCCAGCCACCCATGTTTTCCACTTGGGCTATCCTTGGCAACCCATGGGAGCAGAGGCCACAGTGGGAGGGGCTTGAGCTGTAGATGTTTATGGGAGAAAATAGGTCAGTCCTTATGGAAAGAGATGCAATCCCTCACATCAGAGAATCTCAGCGACACAGTGGAGGCACCCTAGGAGTCATCCAGGCCAGAGGTTTTTAATTTTGGGGGATCTTAGATTCTCTGAGGAGCCGATAAAAGCTCTAGACTCTCTTCCAGAAAATGTTATCCGAGTGCAAGATTAAGAATTCATCATCATCATCCATCATCATCATCATCATCATCATCATCATCATCATCATCATCATCTATTGTTTATTTATTCTGTTCAGTTCTCTACATTTAATAATTTATTTAATCTTCAAAAGAATACTAAACAATACACAATTATTACCCCATTTTAATCCAACTTCTCATTTCAACCTAATCCAGTCTAATTATGCCAATCTAAAAAGAAGGAAACCAAAGTCCCTCCAGAGATGGAAGTTCTCTACCCAAGGTTGCAGAACAGGAAGAAAAGGACAGACTGAGATGAGGACCAGGCTCTCTTAATGTGCTGGACATTGTGCTGAGTGTAGATTTGAAGTCATCTGGTGCATCCCACTGTCCCTGGGCTCCCGAGAGCCCAGTGCCCACTCTTGTTCACTTAGCTCTCCTAACAAGAGGCACCCCGGCAGTTCTATTTTGACTTCCAGTCTAGGGAGACCTTCTGAGAATGTGACTGACTGCCACTTATCCTCCCGTAGCACCTTGCCCCTTGCTCTGCCCACCCTTCATTTCTGCCCTCTGAATCTGAGATGGGTCAATGTTCCATCTTTTCCAGGAGACGCTAGCCTGGCTGCTCTGCCTTGTCCCTGAGCCACTGCAGTAGGAGTTGTTGGCACGGAGACAATGACTCAGACTTAGTTCATGAAAGACCGTTCTGAAACATAGCCAGAAAGGACATCCAGAGGTCATAGCATCCAGCCCCCTGCCTCCTCCATATTTGCTCCACCTCGAGCTTCTGGTGTAGAGACCCTATGGCCTAGGGCCATCAACTTCCTTGGCTTTTCTTGCTCACTGGCACCATTGATTCTCCTGGGAATTCTTCCCCATGTCTCATCAGAATCTTTCTGGGCTGGCTCCCTCATGAAATAACAGGCTCCAAATTGCCCAGGAAAGTGAAGGAAGAAAGCTGTTTCTTCTTTCTACCTCAGAAAAATGCCCTAAGAGGGGACAAATCTCCCAGAAGAAAGGAGGGAAAGAAGAAAATTAATTTCCCCTGCCTGTTTTCCCTCAGCTAAGTGGCCTACTATTCTCCTAACAATGAGGTAGCACTATGTCCACTTGGCTGATGAAGAAATTGAGGCTCTAAAATGTTTACTTACCTACACAAAGTCACACAGTTAATTAGTGACTACGTAGGTACTGAACTCTAAGGAGCCCAGAGCTTCTGCTTTTGGGAGAAAACAGGAGTACCTCCCCCAGGATGTCTCCAAATGCAGAAGCCCCTGTTTGCTCCAGCCCAGGATAGATGGAGGACCTGATGACTCGATCTCAGGATGCTCCAAAGCATCTTTACATCTCAGCTGCCTAGGGAGGGGACACTGGAGTGACCTGGGCTGGACAAGAGGGAAGAGGGCAGCCCTCAAAGGAGATTGAGAGAAAGCTAGTTATGAATGGACCTTTGCGGAGACTGGTTTGAGGGCTGAAGCCAGGTTCTACTGAAGCTCCTTTCAGGAAAGCTAGCACTCAGACAGTCTGTGGCTGCAGTGGATGGATCTGGAGGGGGAGAGAATTAAGCCCCCACAATCACAAACCCTCATGTCTGCCCTTGTCCTACTTCTGCCACTGACAAATAAATCTCTATTCCTGGACACAGTAACCTGAGCAGTGATGCTTCAGTGGTGAGCTCATCTTTGGGCATGTGAGAGGGGGGACACAGGGTTCAGCCCCTCCTCCAGGGCTGGCATAAAGGCAAGACTTTCCTGAGTACCCCCCTATCGCATCACCCACAGCAGAAGAGGAGGGAGACAGACCCCAAAATCTCTACACCTACAGCTAAGGAGGGTTCTCTCAACCTCCATCTTCCTTTCCTTGGACAGGCTAAGAGATGAAGCCAGACCTTTGTGGATGGAAAGCAGGACAACTGTGTCACTTTCCAGTCTTGTTGTTTGGACTTCAGCAGAGAAGGGGCCTCAGTCCCCACACCTAAGGTCCCCTAAACCTCTCCAAGACACACCCCCCTCCTATAGATACTACCACAAAAGGAGTTAGATAGGAGGGTAGGTAAAGGTGGAAGGAAGTGGGTTCTTACCCTCCAAGATATAAGACCCAGAGGGGACAGAGGTGAGGAAAGGGAAATGGCAGGTAAGCAACAAGCATTAGAAGAGGTGTCTTCAGGCCAAGTGGACAGAGGACACCTTGGAGGGTAAGAACCCGCTTCCCTCCACCCTTACCTATCCCCTTATCTAACTCCATTTGTGATAATATCTATAGGATGGGGTGTATCTTGGAGAAGCTTAGGGGACCTTAGGTGTGAGGACTGAGGCCCCTTCTCTGCTGAACTCCAGATAACAAGACTGGAAACTGACACAGTTGTCCTGCTTTTCATCCACAAAGGAGCATTGCCACGTCTGGCCTTTGACACATGAGGTTAAGTTGTCCCTTCTCTGCTTGAGAAAACCCCTACCTCATAGACCAGGGGTGTATATATTTGGAGAGAGTATCACCAGAGCAGAGAGGCATCCAGGTAAATGGGGCAGAAGGGTCTCCATTCTTCTCTCCACTTTGCTATCAAGAAGTCCTGACTTCGATCTCATTCTCAGCTATCTTGAAGATCCATTCTCCCAAAGCCATCCAGACTCTAATATGATCTCTCTAGCTTTCCCTCAACCTTGTCACGCCCCATTCCAAGTTTTTCACTGTAAAACTGCCCCCTCTACTTCTTTACCCTCCAAACCCCTCCCCATCTTGTCTAGTACCCCAGGCTCCGCCCAGCTCCCCCCCCCCGCCACCCCGGCCACCGCGGCAGCCAATAGCTGAGAATCAGATTTGCATAGCAGCGCGGGGGGAGCGGGGGAGGGAAGGGGGAGGGGCCAGACCACCTCCTAAATCAAAGTTGGGAGGCCAGGACTGGGCGGAGGGGGCCTCAGGGTGCGGGGCTGGGGCCCTCGGGGGAGGGGAGGTAAGGGGGAATGGGGGGCGGGCCCAGAGGACAGCGGAGCCGGCCGGGAACGGACAGCTCCGTCGCTCCCTCCCTCGGCTCATCTCCGCGTCCCCACTTCCCTCCTCCCCTGGCTCCGAGCAGCATCCTCAGCAGACCCTCGATCCTCATTCCCTGGGTCGTCCCTCTCTCGCCGCTCCGTGTAATTACCTTGCTTCTCCGGCCAACCCGGGAACTTTATCCGCCAGCTCCTGGGAGTGAGAGGTTGCTTTGCCTGGGCTGGGGTTTCTCCTGGGGCTCCTTGGGGGGCAGTCTTCGGAGAGGGCTTCAGGGTCCCAGAGAGACGCCCGCCAGACGCAGCCTGCCCCCAGCGGGCCTGCCGTCGGGTCTCGGCACCCTCTCTTCCCCTATCCCCCAACCATGACCGAAATGAGCGAGAAGGAGAACGAACCGGATGACGCGGCCACCCACACACCCCCGGGGACCGTCTCTGCCCTCCAGGAAACCAAGGTAACTCGGGAGGCGCGAGGCCTGGACCCCTGACCGGTGAGCCCCCGGCTCGGCGCCCTCCTCTGGACGCGGTCGCCACTGTGGGCTCGGGAGCCTTGGAGTCCCAGTAGCAGGGCCAGTGGGATCCCTAAGGCTCCGCGCGGTGGAGTGGGTTCGCGGCAAGGGCCCGCCGAGGAGCCCCCATCACACAAGCATGACACGCCCTTGCGCGCGTGATGAGCGGACGCGCTACCGCGACCCTCCAGGGAGGTTGTAACTCGGCTTTGTTGGAGGGAATCAGCGCAAAGAAGGCGGAGGGAGTGTGTAGCTGTGTGTAGCGGGTGTGGGCCGGTGTACGCGCCCGTGTGCGTGCGAGGCGCTCCCTTCCCGTGTCCGCCAGGTCTCTGCGTGTAGCTCAACCTGTCTCACTCTCTCTGCCTGTGTCTCTGAAAATGTCTCTACAACCTGTTTGTCTCTGTCTTGGTCTCTCTCTACGTGCGTCTCTCCCGGGTTATCTCGGCGTCTCTCTGTGTTTATCTCTGAGTCTCTTGATGTCTCTCTCTGATCCGCCGCAGTCCTGCATTCTGCACCCTCCCGCGTCAACCGGGTTAGGCTCGGGGACTTGAGGCCGCGGCCCGGGGGCGCGCAGCTTCTGAGTCCGCGCTGGGGGCTGCGGCAGCGCGGGGCAGCGCGGGCGGGGACCGGGGTACTGTCGCTGCAGCTCCAAAGCAGAAAAACAGGCAGTCTAACTCCCCTCCCGGGAGCAGAACGGGGGTGGGGCAGGTATAAGCAAAAAGAGAAGTCATCGTAATTAATGAATGTCATAATTAACCCTAATTATGTATGATTGTTACTCCTGCGGGAGTCACAATGAATAAATTATTCCCCTGTGAAGTCAGGAGGAGCCCATACTCCTGATGCTGAAGGGGGTAAGAGAGAGCGTGCTGCTCACGTTACACGCCCCCACCCACCTCTAATCTTTCTGCTCCCTCCCCAAGTTCTAGGCGTTCCAGACTGCCCCGCAAGAAGTTCTGTGGGAAGCGACCGGAGCGGGCTTGGGAATGGGAAAAGAAGCGGCTGTGTCAAGGGCGCTTTATGCGCCCCCCCCCACCCCGCCCGCCGCCCCCAGCTTTCAGGCCAAGACCCTCTTCCATGTCCCTTGGGGAGGGGAGTGTATTTTGTTCCCACCCTGCTTCTGTCATCCCGATGAGGAGGTAGAGCAGTGAGGACCAAAAATAGATGCGGTCTTTGGTTCCCCCTACTATCACTGATTTATCTACGGCTCTCTCCAATGCTCATCCTCCTCTTCATTCTGTATTGACCACCCCCCAGGACATGAGGTTAATTCAAGGTCAAGGTCATCAAGGGAATGACCAGAGGAAGAAAGATGAGTAGGGCCATGGTGGAGTCTGGCTGAGGCACCTTAGGAAGCTCCCCGTACCTAAACCAGAGGAACACAGTAGGTCTCCAGGTCCAAGTCTTCAGATATGCACTGGACCTTCTCCTGCCTCCTTTTGATAATGAGACCCTGAGCTTTCAGACCACAGCATTAACTTCCTCTCAGAGAGTCAAGTGTCTACTGGGAAAGGAATGCTGTGTTGGGGTGGAAGGATATTGCTTGGAATATCTGTAATAGCTTCTTTTAGGCAGAAAGTCCCAGAACCTGAGCTCTATCCTGCGTTCCAAGACTCCTGATCTTTTCAGTTACCTTCTACTCACCCTGGACAGACACGCTATCCCCATGCTGGCTTCCCAGGAGCTTAGGGACTTGGGGTCCTCCCAGGCCCTGTCCCGCTTCCCACACCAAGGCCTGGCAGCTCTACCCCTTCCTTAAGAACTCTCAGAAAGCAGGCATGAGTGAAAGCAGGCAGTAGTGCTGCCTCAGCAATCAGCAGGCTGCAAGCTGAGCTGTGTAGGGAGAGGGAGATCTGGGCCTGGCAGGTTTCTACTGCCCTCTTCCCAGCCCCAAGACCCTCCTATGCTATCACCTCCACGTCTGAGCCATGGAGATCTCAGGAGCAGGGGAAGAGGGGAAATGGACATCTGACCTGTCCCTTCTGTGCTAGACCAATCGGAGCCCTGTGCCTTTGCTCCTCTCCACTGTACCTTCCCCTTGGGAAGGACTCAGTAATAACCACACAGGCTTGGCCGCAGGGTCAGGAGGGTAGAGGTGGGCAGAGAGAGAATATTTCAGGGATCTTGCCAGCCTCCTTCCACTCCCCCTCCTTCGATTCAACCTGTCTCAAAGAATCTTCTGTCTCCAGACTGTAGGAGTTGGGGAGAGGAAAGGGAGAGGGTTGGCTACGCCCACCCAGCTCAGTTTGAGGCAGGTACAACAGAGGAGGCTGGTGCCCATCAGGCAGTGAATTCAACATTCCAGGCCTATAATATCAATGTTTGGGGCCCTCTTGTCTTTTCTGCCAGCCCAAGTCCAGCCTCCTACTCATTTTACAGTTGAGTCTCACCCCTGTACCCAAGCTACTCAGCAACCTTCCTAGTGTTGGTATCGCTTTTTCTAAGTCCCCATAATACCACATAGGGCCTGCCATTACCCTCTTTGGACCCTGCCATGCCAGCTCTGCCATCTGAGTCAGCTTGTGCCAAGTCCACCACCACCCACCACCAGCTGCTTAGTGCCTTTTCAGGAGCTGGCAGGAAGTGAGAAGGTGCCGTGAGGAATTGAGGAAAGAAGAGACCATCTAGGGAATGGGGAGGTGGGGGGGAGGCGGGAAGGAGATGGGCAGGCTAGGCCTTGCCTCTAGGAGGAGATTCAAAAGAATAGGCCCAATGGTTCAGGCTCCAAGCCAAACAAGCTACTGGTGCATTGGGAGGGTATAGGATCCAGGTGGGCCAGCTTGCCAGGGTACATGGCAACCTCTCCCCATGCCAGAGAGTGGGTCCAGGGACAGTGGGGGACCTGAAAAGATAGCTGGTGGGGAGATGGGGAAAGGTCCTCTCTGAGAATTAGGAGTCCCATGAGTGGGAATACCTGGCCAGGCTGAACCAAAACGAGGTTTGGATAGCCAAGCCAGATATACTCTGGAGTAGGCAGGCATCAAGCCATTTGACAGAGATGCCCCCTTCCTGCCCTCCAGCCACAGCCCTTGACATCCTCTAGCCACCACATCTGGGGCCAGGGAGTCTCGGGCAGAGCCAGGGCTGCCCTGGTGCTGGGGAACATTCTGTTCCAGAGGCCTCTGAAACCCTGCAGAAGTGGCTTTTGGTGCTGAGGCCAGGGCACCACCAGGAAAGGGCACAAGCTGGAGAATAAGGGAGACATGAAATCTCATCCCGTGAGGATTACTATGGAAATAATAGCTTTGGGAGGGGGAACATGATCGATGTCTTCAAATATTTGAAAGACTGATGTGTGTAAGAGGGAGTAGCTCTTCCTGTAGCCAAGGGAGGAACAAGGGCTGACAGGCAAAAATTGCAGGGAGGCAGGTTTTAGCTCTATATAGGGAAGCACTTTCCAGCAATTGCAGCTGCCCAAAGATGGAATGATTGTCCCAAAAGAGGGTGTGCGTCCTGTCACAGAGGTGACCAAAAGAGTCAGATAACCATTCAGAGGGCTGCACAGGGTGATAAGGTGGGAACTGCTCTAGGTGGCCAGTCTTTCAAGTCCCTTCTAACCTTATATTTCATGATTGACCTGGTGGACAAACCCATGGTGCAACTGAGGGGCAGAGGTGAGGGCCAAGGGAAGGCCCAGAGCAGCTGGATGCTCCTGGTCACTTGGGCTCAACAGCTAAAAACACTGGTTCAAGTCCTGGCCTGGCTACTTATCAAATGAGGACTCATGATGAGTAAGTGACTCAACTTCTATGAGCCTCAGTTCCTCATCTGAAAAGTGGGACGATAATTGTCACCACTCAGAGGGTAGTGCCTGGATTAATGAGATGCTGCATCTGAAGTGCTAGCTCACTTTCAGTCTTCTGACAATGACAGCCCCTCATTACATCTACAAGTTTATGTTTTGTTTTTGCTTTTTGGACCCTGAGCCTTGCCTTGCTTAGAGAGCATGTAGTCCTGCCTCCTTCCACTTGGATGTGGGGAAAACTGAGACTCAGAAAGAGGAAGTGAAATGACTTGCCTTCAGATATAGGGTTTAGTTTGCCCCCACCTCCAACACATCCTTCCACAGACCTCAAGTTCTCTATGTCCATGGCCCCTGGGCAGAACATTGGATGGTTCACCTGCCTCTCTGGGCCTGTCAGAGCCCCCAGAGCCACATTCAGCCCGTAGAACACATTTGTGTTTTCACTGTCCCTCTGGCCCTCCGTCTCTGCCCCAACAGGCAGACATCTGGGGCCTGGGGCCCTGCTTCTCATAGACACACAAAGAAGCCCACAGTACTGTCCAGGAAGCTGGATTTGGAAGGAGTTGGGCAACTCAGTGTATCAGATACCCCAGGGCTCTGGCTTCCCAGCTGGCACACTGGGGCCTTCCTTGTGCCCAAACATCTCCCTACCTGCATCCACCTCCATCTTGCTGCCTCTGGTCTCCCCTGGGACTAGAGGGGCCACCAGTTCCATCCCCTTGGCACAGTTGCCAGGCTGCCTATTGTGCCAGCTTGGAACCCTGGCCAAAGCTCACAGCCTAAAGCTGGGCCTCTGCCCCCTTTTTCTATCACTGATGGAAAGGAAGGGGCGGGGGTAAGGAGGATCTCAAGAGGAGAGGAGTGGAGCAGGTATCTGGGTGGAGAGTTTTCCAGGCCTCGTTCTGGGCAGACTCAAGAAGGGTGTGTTTGCATGAGCAGTGGGAATAACTCTGGCCTCACTGCAGAATGCAAAACATGGACTCCATTTAGGATTCCAGCCACTTGTTCACATTTATTCAACGAACACTGACTGAACACCAACTACATGTTGAGGCCTTGTGTGGGGATTTTAAGCAACTATCTCTGCCCTCAAGAGGCTCCTGGGAGAGGGAGAACTGAATGAAAACATAAACCTGATTGGAGCTACAATGGAAGTCAGTCCTGGGGGTGCAGAGGAGGAGGGAGTAGCTCCACTAAATAGAATTCCTGCAGAAAAGACGGTTAGTTTCCCAGGGAAGAGGAAGAGCCACTGGAAGCCCTGAAGAGTAAAGAGAGTATTAATTGAATATGGCAGAGAAGAGGACAAGTAAGTCAAAAGCTCAGAGGCATGGCATGAAACATGGTTAAGTTCAAGTCCTCATGTTTGGGCTGCAAGTGGAAGGCAAGAGTTGGAAAGGCCTGTTTGGATGAGTTGAGAAGTCTCATTACTGGGGCAAGGGCCTTGGCTGGGTCCTGAGGAGCCATGACAAGTTTTCAGCAGGGTCAGGGATCACCTCCCTGGCTGCTGTGTGGAGAGCAGGTGGGGATGAGCAAGGTGGAGGCAAGGGGCTGTGGCCCTGAACCAGACTGTGGGTGTTGGGACCTGAACTAAGGAAGGGCTGTGCAGGTGATGAGGTGATTGTAGAGGATGAGCTGGATGGAGAGCGTTTTGGAGGAAAAATCAGCCTTGAGGATGCGGGTCTAGGATGACCACTCCCCCACTCTGACCCTGTTCAAGAACACAGGTAAAAAAACGGGACCTGGTGTGTTTTGTTTGGCCCCCAAAGTATAACCATACAATGAAATCCTGTGTAGTCATAAAAAAGAAGGATGAAACTCTATGTATTGGTATGAAATAATTTTCAAGTTTTACTGTTAAGTGAGAAAAGCAAAGTCCAAGAAAAATAGTATGCTACCATTTCTGCAAAGAAAAAGGTAAATAAAACCTCTTGAATTTGTTTCTACCAATTTCACATAAAAAATCTAGATTTCTTTTGAAAAATTGGAAAACCTGTCAACCCTGGGCTGGACATAAGGACTAACCTCAGTTGGCTAGAGGAGACCAGCAGCTGCTCCCTGGCTGTGCAGTTGGCCACAGTCCCCACTACTCCTACTTATATGCCTGCCCAGCCAAAACTCCTTCGCTCGTGGACTTTGTCTGCCTGGCTCCTCTAGGCATCCCAAGGAGATATCCTGGAGAGGAGCCAGCGCCCTCTTGGGCTTCCACTCACAGACCCTCTTTCTTTTTCAGCTCCAGCGGTTCAAGCGCTCACTTTCCCTCAAGACCATCCTCCGAAGTAAGAGTGTGGAGAACTTCTTCCTTCGCTCAGGCTCTGAGCTCAAGTGCCCCACTGAGGTGCTGCTGACACCCCCAACCCCGCTGCCCCCTCCGTCCCCACCACCAGCATCCACAGATAGCGGCCTGACCACCCCGGCACCCTCACCCTGCCCAGTTCCACGCCCCCTGGCGCCACTCAAACCAGTGAGGCTGCACAGCTTCCAGGAACATGTCTTCAAGAGAGCCAGCTCTTGTGAGCTGTGCCATCAGCTTATTGTGGGTAGGTGCCTGAGGTGGGCAAGGGGACGGGCCAGTGTTGGTGTGGGGCGTAGGCCCATGAAACTGCCTGATATTGGACTCTTGCCATTCAGGCTCCCAGTCCTAACTGTGCCCCTCATCCTGGATGGACAAATGAGCACTTTCAGGGATGGGCAGTTGCCCAGTGTTGCTCTGTTTACTAACAACTCAGACTTCAGTGCCAGTTCACACCCTGACTATATGAGGGGTAGGTGTTAGGCCCTGAGGCTGGCGTGAGGCTGCCCAACCGCCTGCTCTCTTCTTACTCCCTAACCTGCCTCCTTTGCTCCTTGCCCATGGATGTACTAACCCCTCTTGCTGAACCCAAATTCTTCCCAGGAAACTCCAAGCAGGGCTTGCGGTGTAAAACATGCAAAGTCAGCGTCCACCTCTGGTGCTCCGAGGAGATCTCCCACCAGCAATGCCCAATCAAGACAGTGAGTGGGGACCACACAGACTGGCATGTGGGGGAGTGAGTACCCCTCCAGGCTGGTTCCTTACATAAGGTTGTCCTTGGGCTTGAAGAAGCCAAGTGCTCGGTGGGCTGTGACATCCCCGTGCCCTCTCTCTGGCCCCTCTTGCCACAGTGCTCCTCCTTCCGCCGCAACTTCAGCTCCCCCCTCCTGGTGCATGAGCCGCCACCAGCCTGTGCCACAAGCAGAGAGTCCCCACCCACTGGTAAGTGTCCCCCTCCCCCATTGCCTCAGTGGTGCAATGAGAAACTCATGCATCCCATAGACGGGCACCTGAGTCACATTGGCACTGCCAGTTCTTGGCACTGCTACCACTTCCCTTCTCTGGATGCTCCTGTACTGGATGAAGGGTTCACTCATTCATTCATTCATTCCTCCTTCAACAGACACTTTATTGAGCACCTGCTTGGTGCCAGGCAGTGTACCGGACACAGGAACATAGCACTAAAGAAGGTGAAGTTCATGGTCTGTAAGGGAGCTAGACATGAAATGGATAATCATACCAGTCATCAATTAATCATCATTCAAACGAATTCCTGAAAGGAAGACAGGGAATAAAGAGAAGATAAAGCAGACACTGTCCTCATCCACAGAGACCAGGAAGGCGGCCTGGCTACCTGAAGATGGGGAGTTAGTGCTGAGGATCTGGTGTGAGCAGAGAGTGACCTGAGGCGGGAAAAGGCAGTTAAAGAAAAGACAACACGACTATGATTGAGGGAGTGAGAGAGGGTGTGACGGGATCGTGGGTGCAGGGCCTTGGGGTCTATTTTAAGATTGTTCTTTGGACTTTATTTTAAGGGCAATTTTTATGTTTTTACAAGAGCCTTCTGGCTGCTGCGTGGACTGGAGGCACTGGAGGGGAAGCAGGGAAAGTAGTTGGGAGGACTACAACAGAGTTTGGCAACTTGGAGCAGGCTGGTAGCAGTAGAGATGGAGAGAAGTGGGCAGATTCTAGAAACCTTTGGGAGGTCGGGCTAGGTGATGAAGTGATATGGGCAGTGAAGAGGGTGAGGGATCAAGGACGCCCTGGGTTCCTGCATGGGCTCCGTGGGAGGACGGGCAGCTCTCCCTGCAATGAGGGAGACTTGGGCGGGGTGGGTGAGGGAAGACAGGGAGTTCGGCCTCAGGCATGCGCTGCCTGAGCTAGTGGGGGAGTCAGGGTGGAGATACAGGGCTTCAGGGCAGAGTGAGGCTGGCAGCTGGATGCCTGGCCTTGAGGGTGGATGCTTGGCAGGGGCCAGCGGGAAGGTGGACCCCATCTACGAGACCCTTCGCTATGGCACCTCCTTGGCACTGATGAAAAAAAAAACGTCTGAATCCCCCACGCGGAGCCTGGTATGGTGGGCACCAAAGGGGAATCTTGGGGACAGAGGTCTTTGAGGATGAGGGTCCAGGCGATGAACCTTCCCCTGTCTCTGTCCCCAGAGTGAGCGGGATGAGCTGACTGAGGATGGGGAAAGCAGCATCCGCAGCTCAGAAGAGGGTCCTGGTGACAGTGGTGAGTGGGGGTAGGGACCAGGGGCAGGAAGGGAACTCTGTGCAGGTACTTCCTGCTGCCTCACACCCTCGTCCCACCCTGGCATCTCCAGTATTCACAGCCCCTGCTGAGAGTGAAGGGTCAGGACCAGAGGAGAAAAGCCCCGGACAGCAGGTGAGGTGATGCTGACACTGAGCCCCCGGCAGGCCAGATGGGAAGGGGATGTAGCTTCTCCTTGCCACTGATCCATAGGTGGATGAGAGCAGGCTGAGTGGGACCACCACCACTCCATCATTTATCCTCAGTCTACAGGGATGGGCAATGCCAGGGTGAGTGAGCAAGGGAGGCAGGTCTTACCCTCCCACCACTGACCCTAAGGGTGGGCAGTGCCAGGGTTCAGTAGGCAGCAGAGTATCCGCCTTCGCCATCCCTGGCCCAGTCCCTCCAGGGGTGTGTGAGCACAGCAGATAGGAGAGGCAGACCTCACCCTATCCTCGATCCAGGAGCACTGTGCCCCACCTCCTAGCCCTCGGGTAGCAAGGTCTGGGCAAGTGGATAGTGGCTGGAGTGAGGAAGGTGTTGCGCTCCCATCGCTGACCCAGAGCTCTTCCACAGCCCCCCAGGCTGCCCCTGCGGAAGGACTTGGGGCCCATGTACTCTTACGTCGCACTCTACAAGTTTCTGCCCCAGGAGAACAACGACCTGGCTCTGCAGTAAGTTTTCTCTGTGTCAGCCATACTGGGCGGCCGCCTGGCTCCAGCCTCAGGGCTCTGCGCTCCCAGACCTTGGGACATGAGAAGGGCCTTCAGGAACCTTTTCCCGGTATGCTTGAGGCTGCTGAGCCCTGAGAGGAGTGGAGCTTCCCAGAATCCAAGAGAGATTGGTGCTGATGGCATGGCTCCTGCTCCTGCCCCAGCTCTGTCCTGGAGAGTATCTGCTATACCTGTGGTCACGTGGTATCCTCCTTCCAAGGGCATCAAGAATTCTCCCCCAGCTGAGGGGGATGCAGAGGATCTGGGGGCCCAGGACTGTTGGGATGTGGAGAGGGCAGGTCCCTTCTGCCCCATATGCTGCCCAGCTTTCTTCTCCCAGGCCCGGAGATCGGATCATGCTGGTGGATGACTCTAATGAGGACTGGTGGAAGGTGACTTGGCAGGGTGGGGTGCGGAGGGCCCCTGGTAAGCACCTCATCCAGCCCCTGCTCTCAATGGGCACTGCCCCACCTTCTCTCCAGGCCCCAAAGACTTACCCTCCTCCAGCCACTGGTCCTAGCCAAGCCTAGGACCAACCCTCAGGCCTTGCTCTCGCTTTGACACCACCCTCACCCCCACCCCTTGTCCCTCTGCTCAGCCTGGTCTCTCTGTCCACCTCATGCCCCTCCCAACCCAGAAGCCACCCAACTAGGGCCTCGAGTACAGAGAGCCCAGGATCTGGCATTGGCTCTAGAGAAACAGTGGGGGGTGGGGGTTTCACTGATGTTCATGCCAGCCTCGTCCCCAGGGCAAGATTGGCGACCGGGTTGGCTTCTTCCCAGCTAATTTTGTGCAGCGGGTGAGGCCAGGCGAGAATGTTTGGCGCTGCTGCCAACCTTTCTCCGGGAACAAGGAACAAGGCTACATGAGTCTCAAGGAGAACCAGGTGAGTGCCTGGGCCCTGGAGTGGCTGGAGAGATGGGCATGGGAGACGGGCAGCAGGAGTGGTTGAGTGTCCTGGAAGAGGATGCTTGCAGCCTGGCAGTGGTGGGGAAGGCAGGTTAGCAACAGTGGGACCTCAGTGCCCTCCTGTCCTCCTCTGTTGGGTTTTGAGGCTGGTGGCCAACACAGGCAGGGGACTGTATTACATTACAGGCAGTTTGGGGGAGAGGAGGAGCATTGGATTAGGAAGGAGTGTAGAGACTTGGGTTTGAATGCTGGCTCTGCCTTTGGCTTGTTGCACCTTGGCAAGTCCTTTTCCCTCTGTTACCTGCCTTATGAAATGGGAGTGGGGCTGCATTAGACCAGCCGTTCTCAAAAGTCAGCCCCGAAGTGCTGCTCAGTGTCTGCTGATGTCCTGATCTCGCTGCTGCACCCTGTACCTTCATGGGATCTGCTCCTCTCACCTCAACTGAGGGCTCAAACTACATCTGATGCTGGTTTCATCATTCCCTAGAGTGAGCCCACTGGGAGCCATCAGCAGGACTTGGGGCCAGGGCTGTAGGCAGTGCCAGGCCTCAGCTCCATGTCTCTCTGTCTCAGATCTGTGTGGGCGTGGGCAGGAGCAAGGACACTGACGGATTCATCCGCGTCAGCAGTGGCAAGAAGCGGGGCCTGGTGCCAGCCGACGTGCTGACCGAGATCTGAGTGGAGCCAAGAGAACCCAGATGCCATCCCTGCCCATGCCTGGCCTTTGCTTCTGGCCCCAGTGGGGGAGTGGGCATCTGCCCACATTTCCTCCCTTTGCCTCTCTCCTAGGAGCCACTCACCATGGCTTGGGAGCCTTCTGCACTGAGGAAGATTCTATTTCTTGGGTCCCAGGGTGCCCTGAGGGGACTGCTCCTCTGGAACTTGGGGGTGAGGGAGGAGGAGAAAGTGGGAGGGGATGGGGAAGCTCCAGGTAGGTCCACCCAGTGCCCAGTCACCCCCAGTCCAGTTGCTGTGCTGAGTCCAGCCCTGGGGAGCATTCTTGGGGAACTTCCCTGCTGCTTCTTCCAGAGAGCCTTCTGGTACCCACACCAGCTTTGCATGACTGACACCTCCGTCTCCCCACAGAGCTTCTGCTTGGGTCTATGTGTGTGTGACCATGCAGCTGCTGCTTTGGAAGTGGGGCCTTGGGAAGGTGCCTTCCTTGTCCCTCAGCCCTCTGCCCTGGGTTGGGAGGGGACCTGGCTACAGAAGATCCTGAGTCCGCCTCCTGGTCTCACCACCTCTGTCACTCCATCAATTCTCAGGAAAGTTCTGCGGGAATCTCTCCCATTACTTGAAACCTGGGCGGACAGAGGAGGGGAGGGCTGAGGTCTGGGGAGGGTGTGGAAAATCAGAGACTATACCGTCAAGTTGAACAGTCACCACAGAGCAGCCTCATCCTACCCTTGTCCACTGGAAAAGGACACCCAAGAGCAACCAGAACACAGAAATCCAAATGAGAACAAAAAACTGGCCCATGCTTGGTCAAAACAACCCCCATTTCACTATCAGAACTCTAAAAGCACCCGGCAGCAGGACCAGCCAGCCAGGGGATCCTCACCAGGCCTGCCTCTACCCTCAGCGTTGACCTCCAAATGGCCCTTCCTCATCCCCCTCTCCTGGCTCTGCAGGCAACAGGGCTGCCAGGCTGCCGGTGCAGGGCTCCCTTTTACGGCTGTATTTGCCCCCTGGTCTTGGACACAGAGTCTTGGGAGGAAGAGGGTGGATCATTCTGTTTGGCCACCAGGAAAGGGAGTAGGTGCCCTGTAGGTAGGGTGGGCGCAGGCAAAGAGGATCCCTCCTTTGTAGGTTGCTTTATTCTGGTGCCATCCTCCTCCCTCCCCAGTCCCCCCCAGCTCAGAGTCTCCTCTTGTGCCCTTGATTGTGCCAGCCGATGTGACCCCCCATTCTGGGCACAGTCATGCCCTCCCATGCAATGCGAGGGACACATCCTCCTATCCATTGGCCTGTGCCCCAATTCTCCTCCCAAAAGGGGGAGCTCAAGCCACACTGCCCTGTTTGCTGCCATGAGGCCCCCTCAGCAATATCCCAGGGGCCGGCCAAATGCCCACTGTACATGAGGCTGCATGATGGGTCTGATGGAGCATTGCTGAGGCCCCAGACTCTTAATTAAATGTTTCTTGTCCCAACCTGTCTGTTCTGTGTATCTGCTTGGGATAGATGAAGAAAAGTGGTAAGGAGTGGGGTGAGGGCTGGGGGCACTGAGAGGGGACAAGCCTCAAGGCGGAAGAGTTTAGTTCATCTCAGAGGAGAGGTATTGGGGCTGACATTGCTGGGACCCTTAACCTCCTCACTCCCTTCCACTGAGCAGCCTGAGACTTGGGGATCTGGGGAAGTGTTTGAGAGAAGGGGCTGGAGAGAGGGAGGGGCTTTGGTCACTTTTACGTTCCAAGCACACCTCAGTCGTGAGGAGGCGGGCACACACCTCCAGCGTCAAGACGGTTCCTGCGCACCCAGCAGTGCCCTCTGAGACCGGCTGTGCCTTGGGACTCAGGGGCTCCTACCCATCCGAGGATCAGCCTAGTCCCCTCAGCTCCCAAAGCCCGAGGCAGAAATGCTGGCAGCAAGGACAGTCGCGGACAGTGGGGCCCCTAGATGACTCAATCCCAGCCGTCATCGGTAGCATGGCACAAAGCAAGCCGGCGGCAGCACCCCTCCCGCAGCTGTGCCCGCCGCCCACCTGCTCCGGCAGCGCTGCCTCCTTCCCCTCAGCCACCCCGCCACGTCAGCGGCACTGTGAGCACGTCCTGTGCTATTTATAGGCAGAGGGGAGCCAGGAGGGAGCGAGAGGCAGGCTGCGGGGGTGCCAGGGCAAAGCGGTGCTGCGAAATGCGGCGTGGGGGTGGGAGACCTGCCCCACCTGATAGGCACTCTCCGGTTCTGTCTTCCAGTCCGCCAGCACCAAAGCAAGGTAAGCCAGGTGGGACCAGACCCTGAGCTTTCTTTGGGCCACTTTACCAGAGAAGGCCCTAGAACTGGTGAGGGAAAAGGAGGATTCCCTCCAAAACCCCCTGGTGGTGGAGGTGACAAAAGAGGTCACAAACCCAATCCAAAGGCAGAGAGGGAAATGTGTAAATAGGTACCTACTGTGCCCTGGGAACCAAGCCAGGAACTTAATTTTATTTAATCCTCTCAATAATCCAGTGAAGAAAGTAGTGGTATCCCTTTTCACAGATGAAGAAACTGAGGCCCAGAGATATTAGATGGCTTATCCAAGGTCATACAAGTTATCCAGCACAACCTTACCCCTTTTATACATGAAGTAACCGAGGCCCAGATGGACTAGTAACTTGCCCAAGTTCACCCGGCAAAATAGTGGTCAAGCCAGTCTCAGAAATCATGTCTCTTGCCTCCCAGTCCAGCTCTTCCCCCACTAGACCTTGGGTCCCTCAGTACCTTAAACCAACAAGATAGAAAAAGACACCCTGAGATGCTGAGCCAGGGGCTCCAGGGATCAAGATCCCACCTCATTTGAGATAGTCAGAGACTTTCAGTTAAACCTTCTGCACACCCTGCTTGTGTCTGCCACCAGCCGGCAGCTGGCCTGGACCCCCGCCCTCCTCCCTAGCCCATTTGCCGCACTGCTGAGCACAGCAGCTTTTTCGGGTGGCTGAACCACTGACAGCATGCTCACAGCCTGGGGGCTGGGAACAGCTGGTGCTCCCACTGTAGCCTCTGCCCTCCTCTGTGTTCACTCTCGGGGGGGCTGGACCAGCAATATCATTGGCCTGGGGCAGAGGATGCCCAGGAACCTACTGGTGGTTGATGCCAACCCACCATTTGGCTCTGTTGTCTGACTCACATGTGCCCTCCATCCCCCACCTGAGCCTGAGTTTAACTGTGTGGGATAAAGGTTACCTAGGCTTAGGGGAAATGCAAGAATAGGGGTAGTCTGGGAACCAGCGACAGGAGGCCTAAAAGGGTAGAGATGGATACCAGAGGTGGGGCGGGGGACTCAGAGTGAGCTCTGTGCAATCCCACCCATCCTACTAGTGCCAGTTACTCCCTTTGGCCCTTTCAACCTTCTTCACCCCCATTCATGGCCCTCTCTCATGCGTGGGACAGGCTGGGGACATCTGCTGAGGAATGCAAGGAAAGCAGCCATGTACTTCCAGCCACAGCCCTCCCTGTGCTTGCAGGGAGCCAGCCTAGGTGGGCCCTCTCTTAGCCTCAGTGAGAGCACGGGGAAGGAGGTAGGGGACCCTATACCTCTTCTCCAGCTCATGGCCCTGCAGCAGCCACTATATGCAGTGCCTCTGCTGCAGCCCACTCTGAATCACACCCTCCCACGTCTGGGGAGGTCAAAGGTGGGTGCTAGTGTTCATGCAACGCTGCAATTCTGGGGGAGTCCTTGGCCCCTCCAGGCCTTAGTTTCCTCCTCCAAAAATGGAGTTGGACTTGTTCAGGGTGACTTTACCCGGGCACTATGACCTACTTTAAAGGGTATGCAAAATTATGTAATGGGAGCAGTTGTATGCTTTTGAGAGAATGGACATATCTTTTCATTAAAATTTTGTAAGTTTCCAAGACCTGGAAGAGATCTAGCAGTTACTTTTGATTATCTGCTTGTGAGGGGCCTTCCCAGGCATTGTTCTGGGAAGGGGTTGAAGGCCTGTGGTGGAAAGAGGTAACTTCCAGGCCTGAGGTGAATGACTAAAGAAATGACTAAACCCAAAGCTTCCCAAGAGATAGGCTCCTACAATCCATAAGCTGCCCCCCCCCCAACAAAAAAAAGTGGGCAGTTTCCTACACCTGCAGCAAACCTGTGAAGAGAACAGCACCATCTTCTGGCCCAGGGTGGAAACTGGTTTCTGTGCTGCAGGCTCAGGAGCTCCACTGCAGGTCCCATTCTTCTTACTTACCTTACTCTCCTCCCTGGAGGTGGAGCAGCCTTCAATGCCCTTTCTCCTCTGGTCCAGGCCTGGGAAGGAGGTGTCTGTCCCATGCTCTAAGCTGGGAGCCTGGCCAAAGCCCTTCCCCATTCTAGGCCACAGCTCCCCCACTTGGGATGGCAAAGGATGATTAGAGCAAGAACTAAAGGATTAAGTGCACACAGGCTGCTACAGTGGCAACAGGAAACTCACCAGTGTCCTTTCATCCCAGGCTCTGATTCCCATGGGTGGTGGAGGTCCTCTAGAGATTTCTGAGTCTGGGCTTCCCGGCCTTGAACCACACATACCACCCCAACGCTGTCCATACTTGATGACAACTGAGGCAGAGCTAGAGATGGGTCTGCTGCCCACAAGACCTGAGCCCTGCCTTTCCCATGCAAGTGTAGATGGGAACATCTGCCCAGTACATCCCCTGAAGGCCCACAACTGGCCTTTGCATTGTTCCTAAAACAAAAATTCCTCAGAAGGGTAGAGGGCAAGGAGGAAACCAGGATGGGCACACCAGTCCTAGCTGTGCCTAATATAGAGGTGACCCCTCTTATCCAACTTTCCTCTCAACCCAGACCTCTCACCCGAGTTGACACTCCTGTATTTAAATGACTAACCCCTTCCACCTGGACGTCCTTCAAACTGCTACCCACTCAATATAGCCATTCTCCCCACAACTGGTTCTCATCACTGAAGGCATCCCCTACCCAGTCCTCCAAAGCTCAAGGCCTGGGGACCAAGCCAGACTTCTTCCTCAGTCCCTACAATCAATGTCTACCAAGTCTTATCTTACTTCCTAAATAACTTGAATCCATTTTTCCCACCCTAACAGTGTAACATTGGCTCAAATTGTGTAAATCCAACACATTTTTCTCTTCTGCAAAATGGAGACGGTAAAACCCTACTTCACAGTTATTAAGACTAGAATCAGTGTATCAATGTGAAGTATTTGGCTCAGAGCAGATACATTATTGTAAAATTTATTGGCACTTATTATTGCTAAGTGGCAAAATAAAACCTTCCTATCTGGTAAAAGAGAATATGAATTCATTAAGCAACTCACAATGGCTGACCAGTTTTTGTTGCGTGCCTTTATTCCAATTTCTGAGAAAAGCCTTTCTCTTTGTAATCTATCAGTGTAAAACAGAAAACAAAAAACAAAACCCTGATAGGACATAAAGGTTTAGAAACTGGAATGTTCAAAATGACAGCTTCAATAAAGTTGTTTAGAGAAAGCATAGGTAGCAGTCAGTGAAGTCCAGGTGTCATTAGCTTGACTGGAGGTGGTTGAAACTCTCACTGTCCTTGAGTTCTAGGGCAGATTTCAACCTTGGACCCCAGTGCCCAGTTGAAAAGTGTAAGCATTCTGTTTTTTGTTTTTAAAACAATGACAGCTGATGTCACAACTATTGGTTCCCAACCAACATCTGAGACCACTTCTGAAATGCCACTCACGCTCTACTGTAAAAGGCAGTTTAAAGCACAGCACTTCGGAAGTTGAGTAGAAGTCATTCCTTCCCTCCCTTCAAAGTAAGCCCCACATCCCACTAAAACAAGGTAAAAAAACCGTCTCTTCCATGGACAGAGGGGTCATGAGCCTTATCAGAGGCCAGGAGCCAAGGAAAGAATGAAAACTGGCACTCTGGAGAGGGTCTGCATCTCAGAACTCGGTGTGCTCAGTTCTGGCCCTCTAAATAGTGAAGACTCATCAAACAGCCAGAAACTTTGGAAGAACAGAGAGGTAGGCAGATGAAAGCTATTTTATTGAAGGATTGATCTATATAATTGCCAAGGCCACTATGTACAGGTAAGAGAGGTGGTGCTTTATTTCTTGGTCTCTTCTTCCTTGGACAGAGTCTTGATGATCTCCTCCTTCTTGGCCTGGAGCCGCTCTTCACGGCGCTTGCGTGCTTCCTTGGTCTTAGATCTACGGGCCTCAGCTTGGTCACTGAGAAACAGAAAAGATGGGTCAGTTTTCTGAAAAGAGATGAACTGCTAGGATGTGAAAGCACACACACAGACCTTTCCCTTTGAGCCTAGTCAGCTTGAGGAATGAGTTGGAGTGGCCACCAAGAGCTCTTGTTTCAACTAACCTACAGTCCCTACCCTGCCAACGATAGTAGATTGTGTGGTGGTATATACAGAAGAGAAGAGCATACACCTCTAACAGACTGCATGCTAGTGAAAATTAGGTATTAGACACATTTGAAATGTCTCAGAAGAACCCCGATAACAAAAGTCAAAGAATCCGCCCCCATGACAGAGGCCCATTCTTGAAGAAACTTACGCCAAAAGTTTCTTGCGAGCCTTGTCTGCCTTCAGCTTGTGGATATGTTCCATGAGAATCCGCTTGTTTTTGAACACATTACCCTTCACTTTCAGGTACAGGCTGTGATACCTGTAGGGTAATAAGCAGCAGAGGTTCTGGTCAGCGATGGGATCAGAGGTTGGCCCTTCCACACATGGTCCCTAAATGTATAGGGTTCCTTTCTTCTCTTCTACTGCTGCAGGAACTACTTTCCCCCAGACTTTCTGTGCAATTTCTAGACAGAAGAGCTTGTCTGGCAGATAAATTCTTACACTATCCTGATGATGTATGGGGGGGAAAAACAGAACTGAATGGACAATTTTATATAAACATGTTCTGAGACTGAAGCAAATCCGACTCGTTTTCAATGTGAAAATAATATAAAAACTCTTCTTAGAATTATTTCTAAACAGAACTTGTCTCTAATACTAATGTAACAGAAAAGTATAAATTGGATTCATCAATTGAATTTTTGGCTAACTGTTCAAGAACAATATTAATTTAACATCAAATGTAGGAATGCTATATTTTCTAGAATTTGACATTTTCAACCATTGAGACTCTATTTTGTAAATGGAAATACCACAAGAAACAGAATGTTAAGAACAGAAAGTTGTCATTTGTCTCCAAAGACTATTGATATACTACTAGGCCAATGAAAGAGCTTGTGTCTATGCAAAGAACAATCCATCAACACAGCACATAGGTCTTGGTGGGCCCAAGAGGAGGGTGTGCTTACATGTGGCGGTCAATCTTCTTAGATTCACGGTATCTTCTGAGCAGTCGGCGAAGGATTCTCATCCTCCTCATCCAGGTTACCTTCTCAGGCATTCGAGCATTGGCAGTACCCTTTCGCTTACCTGCAGGGAAGATGAGTTAGGTCCACTGTAGCATATTTAGGTCTCAAGTCAGTTTTTAGCAGGTGATGGTCCCATATAGTTCTTTCATTTACTCAAATTTTAAAGAAATACAAAAAACAAGGCAATTCTTCCCTATTCACTTCATACACAATGTGGATATGACTGGGCATGCACCAAGGCGGTACAATAAGCTGGAAGGAGCTTTAAAGGTGGTGCGACTTTCACCTCCCTAAGTCATCCTGACTTTAGAAAGTGATTTTAGGATTTATTGGATAACATTTTTAAGTACCTAGTAGAATCCTTGGCATAGTGGAGGTGCTCAATAAATGTGACCCCTTTCTACCAATACTTTCAACTTCAGTAGTAGTACCAATTTTCCAATTTGCAGAGAAAACACATCAAAAATCACGGAGTAAGCAAAGGGTTCGATATGAGACAGAATAGGAAGAAAAACATCTGGAATATATCTGTCTTAACTTAAGCATCTATTATTTCTTAAGTCTTAGAGAAAGAAGACTGCTCTTACCTATGCCCATATGCCTGCCCTTTCTGCGGGCCAAGGTGTTTTTCCGGCATCGTGCTCGGGAATGGACAGTCACAGGCTTCCGGATGATCAGCCCATCTTTGATCAGCTTCCGAATCTGCTGACCTGGAAAAACATAATGCACCTGGTCAGTCAGCTGGGGCCCAGCCCCAAGAACACCAGCCACAACCCAGAATCCAAATAGGATAGCTGGAGACATTGCTCACATCCCTGGCCTAGTTGTCTCAAAAATGGTGGCAATACTCAAACTTTATTTCTCATTAAAATTTTTTTCCGACCCTTTTGAATGTTTTGTAACATACTGTCTCTACATATATATTTGGGGATAGATAATCAAAATAGTGTATAGATGTAGCATAGTCCTTTAGGTCCCATCTGTCTCACTTATTAGCTACTGTTCTAAAACAAGATTAGGATTTTTTGAGCATGTATTTTACCACCACAAAGGTTAAAAACTTCCCTGATATTGACAAAGATTCTTTTGCTTAACCAAACTTTTGTCACTCTTGAACCTTCTTCTAGGCCTATCTATGCATTTCCTTACAAATTCTAGTTTTAATAAGAACCCTTCATAATCTCTCTCCTCCACTGTAAAATCCCATTGCAGTGGTCCCTAGATCTACTGCAATGGTCCTGAACAGAATGAATATACCAACAGGCTCCACTTAAGTCTGAGGCCAGGTCTTCCCACTTCACCATTTTCTTGGCCATCTCTACTGCCTAGTCCCTGTACCGTCCCTTCATCAATACTTCACATAAAATACTTCACAAAAAAACAAAATATTTACTTTAGCAAGTCATTAATGTAACACTGGGTAGTTCCATTAACTTCTATCCTGTCATTCTGGCAAATGTCAGGAAAAGAACCTCTGGCATCTCCATGTATCTGTGACTCCACCATTTTATAAGACCCCGCCCTCCCCCCCCCCACCCACCACACACACCTGGCCAATGAACTTTCCTAGGTTTGTTAAAATCAACACAATTGTGACCTTTCATCTCATTAAAGAGGATGAAGAGGTAGGGTGAAGAAGGGGCATAAAACTCACGAGAGTTGGCATTGGCAATTTCATTGGTCTCATTGGGGTCCAACCAGACCTTCTTTTTGCCACAGCGCAGAACACTGGAGGCAAGCCTCTTCTGAAGCCTGAGCATACTGTAACAAACAGAAAACACTGTCAGGCCCTGGAAGCTATTCCTGGGCAAGAACGAGCATCCTTAGCCAGATCTCCCCTTTCAAAGTCTTCTAATGTTGTTCAACTCCCAGATTAATAATCTTTCCTGTAACAAGATCTTTCTCCTGTGGAAAATGAGGATAATGGACAAAATTAGGATAAAGCGAGGAGCTTATGCCCATTCTGATGTATTTTTTTTTAGGCGAGGTAACCCTTGGTTCACCTCACAGATTGCAAGGACCTTGTCAGCTTACAATCACTTATGGTTTTTTTTTTTTTATTTTTTATGCCTACATCACTTGGTCTTCCTAGGTGGTCTCCCATCCACGTACTAACCAAGCCCGACCCTGCTTAGCTTCTGAGATCAGAGGGGATAGGACTTGTTTAGTGTAGCATGGCCGTAGACTTGCCCATTCTGATATTCAGCTCTAAACACAAGTGTTTAGCGTGAGAAATCGGAGGCTAGTAGGTCTGATTTGCTAGTTTAGTCCTTTGCTTCCTGGGCTCGTTTTCTTCGTCATATCACAGTAATAAACTACGGTCAGCTAGCATTAGTTTTCTTATGAGCGGTCTACGGGGGTGCCCGGGATCGCCTCACTTTCGTCAGTCAGAAGCCTGGGGCCTACGTCATATGGAAGCAGAGATCAGCTTAGATCCAGGGCCGCCCTCCAAGTAAGGGGGCGACGGCCCAGTCCCCACTGCTGCCTTTCCTCTGCCCGCGTGGGTCGCCCCCGCCATGTGTGCGGCGCCGGGCCTGTCCGGCCCCTGACTTAAGAGTTCCCGGGACGCTCCCCCACCCCCATTCTCCCAAGGCTCGGGCCTAGTGTGCTCCGGCCTACCACAAGCTCTGGGACCGGCCGCTTCAGGATTGCCTCCACCTCATCTCCCCCACCAGGGGCCACGGTACCGAGCCCCGCCGTCTCGCGGTGGCCGGTATTAAACCAGGTCGGAGACCCGCCGTAACTCACCTCATGGCTGCGACCGCAGCGGCGAAAGGAAAGAACTCCCTCTTGCCAGGTTCCTCCCATTATTTGTGAAGGGGAGAGGCCAACCCTCGCTCTGCTTTCGCCCGTATTCCCTCTGGTCCTTTCATCTTTTGCCACCCTTAAACTTACTTATCCCGTGTAAAGACTCGAGATAATAGAAAGCCTAATAGCGGGAATAGTTTTTAAACTTAAAAACATAGGAACTAGACCCCTTTGGTAAGGCAAAGTGGTATAGTCCTACTTCCTACTAGGCACGCGCAGCGAAGGTGCCTGGTCACGTGGGTAGTGGAAGCCGGAAGCACGCTGTATTGCGCAGGCGGGATGAGTGGATTTTGCTAGAGTGGCCTACTCCTTGCAGGCGTCGGGTATTTTCTGGAAGAGTGTTTTATTGGCCAACAAAAAATTAGAGAGAAAATAAAGAGGCAGATATCAGACAAAAACAATCTTATATTCACGCTCTCAGTAGATTGGCAGCCTCTGGAGAGCAGAATAGATCACCAAAGATATTAGTTTGTTTTTGCACCAGTGCTATCCTTAATCTTAGTATGTCCTCCTCTGTAAAGTGTACCTAATCCTAGTAATGCCATCATCCAGTTGTGAAAATCACATGAATTAATGTTTGCAACTTGCAAAGGACAGCATTAAGACAGTAAGTTCGTCGATGGCGGGAACCAGTCTTTTGCTCACACTACTGCAGACTCTGAGCTTTACACATAGTAAGCACTTCAGAAATAGTACATTGGATGGGTGAATGCATAGTTGTGAAAGTTAAAAAGTTCTAATGATGGGACAACCCCTTGTTCTTTCTTCCCGGTCTGGAGTACCCAATGCAAAAACCCAAGGAGAATATTCTGAGTTCTGGCTCCAACTCCTTGCTTGGTTGGCTCCAGCTGATCACCCCATCTCTGTCTGAATTTTCTTGGCTGCTAAAGAGAGCTCAAAAGATCAAAAAGAGAAAAAGAAGAACACAATTTATGCCACTTCCTCACAACACAATTAGTGTCATCCTCAATTTGCAGCTAAGTGAGGTAGCAGAAACTGAAAACCCAGATTTTTCTGACTGCAAAATTCATGCTCTCTCTCTCATCCAGGCTCTCTTGTGCCCAAGAGGCAGATGGGACCACTGTTCAAGGTTGGATCTGGTCATGGAGCAGCGCTATTGGGCTTCATCCACACTTTCTCTCATAGTGATGTGATCAGAGAAACAGGCTGGCTATCCATTTTTTGAAGAACCTAAGGTGAGGAAGAAGAATAAGTCTATTCTAGTCTCCCTTCTAGCAGAACACAACAGGCTGGCCTTATATTAGGATCAATGAACCTGGCAAATATTCATTCTACTCCTTACCTCTCCTCTTTGTGAAGCAAGGGAAGGGCTAGAGGAGGGAGGTAACAGGACCTCCTGTCATGACTGACCCTTGCACAGCACCTTACAACATCACCAAAAGCACCAGCAGTCCATTATTTAATTTCATTCTCCCTCATCCTCCCAATAATCCCAGTGACAAAGACACGCTACACCCTATTTTATACAAAAGATTTAGTGATTTGTCCAGGGTCACCTGACCAGAGAGAGCCCTTCTCTCTCACTCACCCCAAAATGGTATAATCCCCTACTTCTTTTCTCTCCACAGATCACTTTAGGTGGAGTCCAGGTCTTGGATATCTGTCCCCAAATCAAGGATGAAGGAGCAATTCTAGGTCAAAGGTCATTAGATTTGATTTTAGTCAGTCTCTCCTATCTCAGCTCCGCATTTCTTCCTCCTCTTTTTTCTCTCTTCCAAGGTACAAGGACCTCACCCAGCTTCACTCCTGGCCTTTTGGAAAGGCCTGAGGGATACTAGCGACTAAGGCAAAAGGATTCTTGAGTCCCTGGGATTTCTTGTTGCAGTCTCTGGCTGGGAATTCCTTTGGACTCACTTCCCATCCCAGCCTCAGCCTCCTGCCCTTCGACACGAAGTTAAAGGGGAAGGGGCCTTTCTGTTTGGTTCAAGAAGGCCTGGGATCACACAGGGGAGAAAGGAGTTAAAACTGGGTCCCAAGATCACCAGGTCCGGGAAGTTCTGATGGGCCAAGCTGGAATGGAACGGAGACCCGTTAGGAAGAACGCTTTGGGACGGAAAGGGGGCGCGGTGCCGGTCATGCTAGTCTGAGATACACCTCCATTAGCGCTTGGCATACCCTGGTCAACCGCCCCCAGTCCCAAGGAGAGTTTCTACTTCCCACCCCCGCCCTGCCCAAGTGGGCCGCCCTCACCGCAGGACAGTCGGAGGCTAGCGCGTGCCGGGCTCCAGAGCCAGGAGGGGCGTGACTTCCTTCGGCCACCCTCCCATTGTCTGTGCGGAGCCAGCGGAGGGGCTGCGGGGGGCGGGGCCGGGGCGGGCGGAGGGAGGGAGGAAGGAGGGGTTGGAGGGGAGCGGAGCAGGCGGGGGGAGATGCTGAGCCTTCAGGGGAGGAGGAGGAGGCGGCGGCAGCAGAAGAGAGAGCCGGAGAAGGGAGGGAAGGCAGGAAGAGGGCAACCGCAGGCCGGGCCAGGTGGCTGGATCCGGTGTTGGCTGCGCCGCGCTGCTCTCAGTTCCGACGGCCTCTTAGGCGCTAAGGGCGCCCGGCTGGGCCGGGCCAGCGGCCGGAGGGGAGGCTCCTCTCCATGGTCCAGAAGACCAGCATGTCCCGGGGCCCTTACCCACCCTCCCAAGAGATTCCTATGGAGGTCTTCGACCCCAGCCCACAGGTGAGGTGTGGTGGCCGGGCCAAGGGAAGGGGGCTCCTCCTGCGGACCTTGTGGGGTTGGCTTTGTGGGCGCTGGGGAGGAAGGGGTTATGCGCCCGGTACGGAGGGAAGAGGGCGTCTGTGCACCCCCGTCCCTGCAGGTTCATGATTGATGGGCGCTTGGCCTGGAGTTAGGCTGCGGTTTTGCGGAGTGGGGAGGGGGAGCTCGGGCCGCTTGTCACCCTCGGCTCCTCGTTTCCTCCGCGTTCAGGGTTCCTGATGCTTAGATACCGGCTCCTTTGGGTTGAGAGTGGGGGTATCCCGGGGTTGAGGGAGGCTAGAGAGCGAGCTCAGGCTAAGGGGG